TGTAGGAGTTTCTTGCCAAGCGTTATTTAAAGCTGAAATCTTCTTGAGTACTCCGGTATTGGCTGTCAGATTCCAGCGAAATTTTATACTTTTTATAAAGTTAGAGTATATCAAAATAATATATTTAACAACAAAGCAGATAAACTTGCTTGTAACTATCTTAATATATTATATCTTATATTTAACCTCTATAATATTTATAATTTTTTGTTTACTTATTAGCTATAGTATTTGAACAATATACTATACAAATATTTTTTTTCTTTAATCATCTCAAAACTGTTTTTAACTATAGATACAAATTTTTTATCATATAAACTGAAATACAATCTAGCTTTATCTCAATAATAACCAAAAGGTTTTAACCTCTTATAGCTTTTATTCTCTATTTTTAAAATATTCGGAATTAAACTAGATACCAATAAACTCTTTGCACTTTATATACTATATAAAAAGAACTTTTTTTTTATACTTATACTTGTTATATAAATTATAAACTAGTACTATATTACATTGGGCTATATACTTTTTATCTAGTTTTTTATACATACTTATATATAATTTTATACAACAAACTTTAACTTTTAGCAAACTACAGATCTCCTTATACCAAACCAACTAGTTATATAATCAAATTACAAATTTTAATAGCTTTCAAATATATTATCTTCTAAACAAACCTTTTATTTTTTTTATACTTTCTGGTTTTATTCTATTAAATATTATATATACAATACAAAAATATACTATATCTATTCAGATAGCTAATTTAATTACTATACAACTTCTTTTTTGTATTAACAAATAAGTTTACTCAAATATTTGGATTTTTTATTGTAGCTTAATATTTTAGCTTCAACTAACACAATTACAAAGTTTTCTAATATCTGTTATATCTTTTTTAACTATCTGTTCTAATAATACTTTTCAAATATTACTTTTAAAAATATCACTCTGGCATGTTATTAGTACTGTATACACTCTTTCTATATTATTAATTTATCTCAAATCTAGATATGCTTTGGCCACTTTAATAGGTTTAGACTGCAGTTAAGTTCTTAGAACTACTTAACTTCTTTGTTTTCTAGTTATATGCTTAAGTATTTATTTTTAGTATTAGGCTTAAAATACAAAACCTTTTCCAATTATGCAAAAAGTTTTTATTAAGTTTAATAAAAATAAGAACAAAATTCTACTTTAAACATTAAAATATATATATATAACAAAATCATTTAAACTTTAAATAAATTTTTTCTAATAAAATTTGATAAAAGTTTTTATTTTAACTTTTTAAATATAAAATAAAATAAAAAATTTTATTAAATTTGATTTAATTATATATTAAAAAACTTTATTTAAGTTTTAAAAATTAAATAAATTAGTTTTTTTAAACTTTAAATAAAGTTTTTTGATATATATTTAACTAAATTTAATAATTTTTTTTAATTTAATTTTATAATTAAATAAAAAATTATATTAAATTTATTTAGATAATTATTAAAAAAAATATAGAAGTACTAATTTACTAAGCAGATTTTTTTTATTTATTATAAAATATATCTATAGTAGTTTTGTATCTATTATATATTTTTTAGATTTTTCTGTTTTGAATATAAAAATTTTCAATACAAAATTTTCATGTTAGTATTTAGTATTAGTGTTAGATGTTTAGAAGAGGTTTTTAGAAGTATATAGCATTTTTATTTAGAATATATTGTATTGATTAATTAGCTAGTTTTTAAAATAATATATATATAAATATAAAATACTATAAGTATATTTTAGTAAAAGTTTTTTTAAAAAATTAACCAAAATTTTTAAATAAAAATATACTGTATAATCAAATTTTTTTTATTTTAATTTATAAACATGTTAAAAATTAGTTAAATAATTATTAAAAACTTTGCTTAAAGTTTTAAAAAATTAAAGTATTTAATTTTACTAATAGATAGGCAAATTTATTGTATACTTTAATTAAAATTTCTTAATAATTTTCTGCTAAATTTTTTATTTTAATTTTACACATTAGTAAAATTATTATAAAAAAAAAAATTATCAAATTTTGAACAAATAACTATCAAGAAAACTTATTTAAAAATTTCAAAACCATTTAATTCACTAATAGCTAAAACCAATTCTTTCTAAACTTTGAGTAAAGTTTTTTTAATTACATCCAACCTTATAATTTAATGAATTTTTTTTGTTTAATTTTTTGCAATATGTAGAATTAAAATAAAAAAAAATTTGATCAAATAATTATTAAGAAAATTTTGTTTAAAGTTTTAAAAATTTAAAAACACTTAATTTACTAATAGACAAACAGATTCCTTTTAAATTTTAAGCAAAGTTTTTTCAACACACATCTGACCAAATTCAATAAATTTTTTTTATTTTAACAAGCATTAGAAGGGCAGTTTGTTTTTTGGCAGCCTATACTTAAATTGCCAATTGTCAAACTGTTTCATGCTGTTCAAAAAATGGACGGGTCAAATTTGTACTAGGTGATAGCTATAAAAAAACATTTGATCATTAATATTTTATTTATTTCTTTTTATTTATATTAATATTCGATCAAAGGTTTCACGCGCCAGAAAGTTTGTATCGTTTTTAAAATTTAATAAAAAAAATGATAAAGATATACTTAAAATTAAACATTCGAAAGCTTTATTTTATTTTATTTTTTTTTGCATCAATTAATATGACATACGTAATACATTTGTAGTAAAAATAATTCTAAGTTCTAATTTTTTATTAAATTTTAGGACCAAGTGACGAACACTTCCATTTGCCACCTGAGTGTGACCAATCATCTAGCATGACAAATATGCATCAATTTATTTATATAAATAAATTAGTTACACCTCAGCGAAAAATGGAAGAATCAACAGACTTATTAGTGCTGCATTAAGAATTGACATAAGTTATTTATGTCTGTGAAAATTTCAGAATGATGTAGGTCAATTCAAAATCGACCTAAATTGTGAAATAACGCAGAACATCGTCGAGCAAGTTACAATTTTAAAGTACCTGATTTATGATAATCTGTTTTTGACAACCAATTACAATTTAAGTATCCAGTCTCAACATAGAAAATTATATTTTAGCAAAAATCTACATTGGTTTTTGCACGGATGTATATGAAAATTACCTGATTTTCATATATACCCGTGCGAATAAGCTTTAAAAAAGCACGAGTTGTCACATAAGACCCACATGATAAACACAGGTTCTATGTTAAGTAGCTAAGATTTAACCATATTGACTCAGTTCGGGACTTAAACCATTATCATCAGAATCAAATCCGGTTTAATTAGTTTATTTATCATGATAACTAGTTCATTTTTATATAAGTAACTGATTATAATAACTAGTTCGATTTTTTTATTAAATGGTTAAACTTACAAAAATAATTAATATTTACAATTCTGCATGTTAATAATAAATGATTAGATATCGAAAGTAAATTTTACTCTTGAGAGTTGCTTTATTATTGAACTTCTTTTCATGTGTAGCATGGGATCACTCATCGAATTAAATATTTGATTTTTAAATAAAAAAAAACCTAATATTCTTTTCAAACAAATTTTATAGTAATAATGAATGTAACTATATATTTAATCAAAACTATATAAGTATTTAATTTTTAGCTGTCAAAATTTTTATTGAATAATTTAGCTAGTTAATTTAAATAGTTTTTAATAACCAGTTATCTAAATTTTATAACTAGTTTCATGTAACTAGTTAAACTAGTTTATGTAGTTAACTGCCAGTTTGTAACCAATATAGCTAGTTTTAGCGAGTTAACATCCCTATTCTACCACTATCTCAATAACTGCTATTTTAAGACAAGTGACTATAAATTCACATGTAGATCTATGTATGTATACTTTCTCCTCAACAAGTTATTACTAGACTGAATTACAAGTTACCCCCATTATATAATTAAATAATAGTACTATAATATGAATTTAATATATATACAAGACCTAAGAAACTCAATGCATGTCATGGTTGCTCCATGAGGAAGAGAAAGGAAAAGATCATATACAAAAACACGGACAGTACATAGCAAGAATTAAAACGAAAACAACAATCACAAGGGCATGTTATAATAAAAAAATATAAATAAATAATTTTTGGTAAACAACGAATAAATATTAAAAAATTTAAAATTATAACTATACAATAAAATATAAACGCCTTACTCATTCTCAAAATTTTTAGAAATATATTAATTATCACTGGATTATAATTATCAAATGCTAATATTTCATATTCTTCAGCAATTAATTGGCTTGAATAAGTTATGTTATGTTCATAAGTTCTCCAGTTACTAGTCCAACGATTTGATTCTTTCATGTATAAATCCGATTCTCCAAAATAAGGTCCATATAATTCATTATTACAAATCGCCTTATTTTTACTTTCAGTTTTTACTCTACTCAATATTGGATTTGATGGATCGGTAAATGAAAAAATAAAACTATTTAAAGTTTTACTAAAATATGGTTTCTTTTTTAATGTAAAATATGGGTTTAGTGGAAAAAAAATAAATTGAAATATATGGGCAAAATCATCTAATTTTAATCTATCAATTTTTTTAGTAAAACTATCCCAGTTTACAGGATTGTATCCACCTATTAAATCGCCTTGAATAGTTTTAAGTATTACAATAGTTGGACCTTGAAAATCACACAATTTATGAAAAGTGTCAATATTAAATCCATCTCTGCTTCCACGTAATAAAAGCTTAACTTTATAGGGATCAGTTAGACAAGTATAGTAATCTTTATCCTTTTTATCAATCCAGCTTGAGATAATAGCTTTATTTTCATTGGTAATTAATCTGGAACATCTTCTTGGTGGAATTTTGGATTTGATAAATATATTAGAGTCCAAGTGGTAATGTTTAATTTGTTTTTTAATATAATTATTAGGAATATGATAATAACGAATTAAGGGGATGCAACGAGAAATAGTTTCTTTTAATGCCATAAAATGATCATTAGACCAGCTTAAGATATTTTCATCAGACCAATTTGTGATATCATCATCAAGAAATTTAGAAATACCCCATTTAATCAAATAATTCCAGACTTCTATTTCTTTAAGTTCAAGATCATCGCTTTCTAAAAGACAAATCATGGCTACTTCATCTAATAAAAACAAATCAGCTGAATCAAAAAGAGAGTAAGGATTTCTAAAAGTAAATTTTAAAACATGATTGTATAATTTATGAAAATGACTATGTCGACAAATAACATTAAGTGATGTTACAAGATTAGAGAATAGCCATGGCGAGTACAGTCTAATTAAGTGGTTTTGAGCACATTCAGCAAGATCAAGAAGCTCAAGTTCATCAGATGCGGTTAATATATTTAATGAAACTTCAGCTGATGTTTGCAATATATTTTTTCCTGTATAAATATAACTTAACACATTATAAATTAATTTATTAGTAAAGAAATAGAAATTATTTAACATCATGTAATTAATAAAACTTAATAGATATACAATTTATAAAACTTAATAGATATACAATTTATAAAAAAACTTATTACTCACTCAAGAATTAACATGAAAATATTAGGATGAATATTTGGCTTTGTAATAATATATACACCATGTTTTTTATCCTTCCATCGCTCTGATAGAGCTCTTTGAAAATAAGGAGAACAAGATCGTAAAACTGATGAATGCACGTTAAATTCTTTAATATTTGGTTCACTTCCAACAATTATTTTTACATCAGAGCCGCTATCAGGTTGTGAATACATTTGAGTCAGCTACGCAATAGATATGTATGAAAGTACGTACGTACGAGCGTGCGTATCTTATACTTATCGATATAACTTTCCTTTTTGAATATTACGAGGAAATTGTTTTGGAGATCTTCAGCGCAAAAAATGATACAATCAAAACAAAATGGCAACAGCATGACTACATCGTAAAAATCTGCCCCAATATTCGAGTATTGTGTAAAGGTAGATTTTCAGCAGTATGGAAAAAATCTAGTGTTGCCACAAACATGCATAAGCATGTTAAATATATTTTATAGGTACAGTATGTAACAATTTTTATAATTAACAAGGGTAAAGGATATTGTTAAGAGAGTTGTTTATGTGATACACAGTTACGTAAATAGGTAAATAGTATATTGGAATAGGTGATAGTTTACGAATAAATAAATTCAGTTCTGATCAACTTATTGACTATTACTTCACAGACACAGACAATTAATTTACGTCAAGGTTATTTTACAGATACCCGTGCCCGCTATTTACGGTATATAATAAATAATAAGAAACTTAATAAGAAGTGATTTCTGGATTTATCGTTTAAATAGGACCCAAACTACGTATTAGGCACAAGAAATTTTAATTTTCTTATAATAGGGCTTTTATTAATATCATAAGCACATAACTTTAAAAAACTTATTAAAAATAAAACAAATCATTTACTTAAATAATAATAATAATAATAATAATAATAATAATAATAATAATAATAATAATAATAATAATAATAATAATAAAATAAAAAATTATATATTATATATAAATAAATTAATTTTGTAATACTTTTATAAGTAAATCAAATAATTTTTTATAAGTATACTTTATTATATATTGTAGTATGTAATTTATTAAGTAATTAAAATAAATAAAATAAATTAAATTGTAAACGCTTAGAGAAAATGATATATGTTAATTTTAAAACAACATAATCAAAAAATGACGCAAAACAGCTGTACCTTAGATCTATTTAATTTTATGAAATAAAATATAAAAATGCTCGAATAAATATTTGTCATTTTTTGATTCTCACGATTCTAATGCAACTTATAACTGATAGTAATAATTACGTATTTATTAAGACAATGTAAAGATAAATTTTGGTTTTTTTTTAGCATCGCATACTTGAATTGTTCTATTGTCACTACATACTGCATTTTTTTTTCTTTCAACACTTAAGAATGTTTTTTCATGACTCGTAAAATCTTTGATTAATGCTAGAGATAACTAATACTTTCAAATCACTTCATACGTATCAGTATTGCGGAAAATTTTTATAAAATAATTATGCATATGTTTGATTTATTGGATAATCACTTCACTGATTTATCTGATTTTATAAAACAAAATTGCGTACATCAGTTTCGTGTAGAATTTCAAGTGACTAATAAATACTACGAATTTTACTGGCTAAAAAATTTGAGAAGTTACATGAAACTGATGTACACAAATATTTCTCTAAAAAATTATGATATCGTTATATACAGTATATAATCGTTTATAAAAAAAAATAAAAAAAAAAAAAAAAAAGGATTTTATCGATTTAGCAATTTCACATCAGGTAAAATTCTTCAAACGAAAAAGATTATCGTTATGTAAGCGTTGGACCGAAATTGTGTAACCCGGCAAATCCCGTTTTTTCGTGGGTCGTTTTTATCATCAGATCAGCTGGAATTTTTCACCCCTGCAGGCAGCTAGCCTACATATAAAATTAAACAAAATTTTCACACATATACATGTACGTAAAGTACATACGTAAAGATATTGTAAAAAAAAAAAAATGCAAGACGTACAAACATTCATATTTGTCTGTTATAATTTACGGCCATCGGATCTTCTTGCGATGGTATGCGTATGCAAATATTTCAAAAATGTTTTAGATGAAAATATCAATCCATTAGCAGAAGAAATTTGGAGAAATTCTAGAAATAGTTTTACAATTTTTCGAGATAAGGAACCACCGTCAGGAATGAATCAACAAACTTTTACGAGGCTATTAACATTTGAAAAAGGTTGTCAATTTTGTAAAAATAAAGAGAAAACGTTGACAATCTATTGGATTCCTGGAGTTCGCTCTTGTCAAGACTGTATGTTCCCAAGAATTATTAGGTAAATTAATTTACTATTTTACACACACACACACATATATATATATATATATATATATATATATTTATAATAATTTGAATTCGAATAAAATTTTATTAATAATATTTAATAGTTCTGATATACTCGAATCAACTTTTAAGATCGATAATGAAGTTCTTGGAATTATTTTACCAGTAACGCCAAGTATAGATTTACCAAAATCTCTAAATAAGCATACACATTATTGGATCGATCATGTTAAGAATGTTATCGCGTTTCTTATGAATGCTGATGATAATATGCGACGCGCGTTAAATAACTTAAGAAAAGATGTCGGAAAGAAATATGAAGAGGTCCGAAATTATGAAAAATGGATGTTTAATTTACGTCAATCCTACCTTGGAGGACAAGATGATCTTTTTTCAAGATTGCACGCTGAAATTAATAAAGAAACTTTATCCATGATGCAAGAAGATCATGAATACAAAAAATTTATGACTGAAGTCGAAAATAATCCTTTTTTAGATTGGCGGCAATATAAATCAAGAATTTTACAAATCACCCAAAGAATTGAGAATAATTCAAATCCATTGTTAAACGTCCAAGGAAAATAACATATATTTCAAAGAGAAGATTACAGCGTCAAATTCTAAGCATTCGGGATATACTATATGTATATTTGTCTATATGTCCAAATTTCGTAAATCCACCGGATCTCAAAAAATAAAAATTTTTCGAAAGAGAACTTTTACAAACTCTCAGAAGGGAAGCTGAACTACTTGACGCAGCTAAAACAGCCCCTCCACCATATTTTCTTGAAAAAGTCTTTGAATTTCGTCTTTGTAACAAATATACCCTGTAAAATTTCAAAAAAGTTAAACAATATATTAGAGATTTTCATTTTATTGACGATAGTCTACATAACTTACTGTTGCAACGAAAATGAATTGTAATGCGGTACTTAAAAATTGGTTTATGCATTTTTTTAAATTCATAATTGAATTTATGTAGGGTAAATTTGGTATCATTGACTATCAGTCAAATTGTCAAATTCATTTTATAATGCTATTATAGATCTTATAAAAGCATTCTTTTTTTTATAAAAGGTTTAATTTTTTTTTAGTTCAAACTTAAATTGAAATTTTATCATACAGATAGTGTTCTGATTTTAATAATAAAGTGCTCATTATATAGTTTAATGGCATTTATTCACTTTAATTAACGAAAAAAATGTTTATGAAAATTACGTCACCATATCGAATTAATAATTATAGTTGCCGTCCAAATCTAACTAGTCTGAGACTTTCTAGGCTAGGGTATTAACCATTATTTGGGACTAGTTAAAACAGTGTTGGATATTTTACTGATTCAGCTTCTAAAACTGGACTGTTCTACTGGAATTATAGTATATCCAGTTCTAGTCCTGGTCCGGTATTACGGGATCTAATTAACAAATCGTAGTTGGATATAGATTTTATAATTTAGATAAATGTGCTAATTGGTGGATTAGTATATAAATAATACTAATCAAACTATGTACATAAATTTTATCATTACTGTTATCTACATGTACTTTAACTGCTATAAAGTTGAAAGAAAAATATATATAAAGTTAATAGTGATAAATATTTAATAAGTTTCACAATCTCTAATCTTAGCTAAATTATCCTTTTTAATTCAAAATATCCTATTCTTTGATTTATGAAAAAAGGCCTACTTTTTTACAGCTTTTTTCAAAATAGTTAAGAGTACAAAAAAAAATTTTTATAAATCTCAAATACTTGAATTTTTGTACTCTTAACTATTATATTTTAAAAACAGCTGTAATACTATCTTTATATAATTTAATTCTTCTAATTCTACTAAAAAGTTTTTTTTTTAAAATTAAAGAAAGAATAGTTTCTATTAGAGATAGAATTGGTTTGAGCTAGCTTGGCTTGGCTCAAAATGCTAAACCAACTTGTGTAACAAGTGAAAAAAGCAAATTTATTATATAACAATTGCAAAAAGGCATGATAAAATCGAATTTATTACGTGACAATTCCGAATTAGTATGACAAAATTAAATTTAATATGTAATAAATTTGATTTTATTATATCAGCTCTGAGCCAGCTTGAGCCAGCCTAACAGCTTGGCTTAAAGCAATAGCTAAGTCAGCTTATTATAAGTTATTCTTATTTTAGTTTTAAATCAAAAAAATAAAATTGTTTAATATTAACTATTTAAAAATTTCTTTAATTAACTAATTAAACTAAAATTTAATTATACTATTTAGTTTAGTTTAATTAATATAAATTAAATAGTTGATATAGCTAGAATAGTTTTTTTGTCATAGTTTTTAAAATAAATAATGCTTTAAAGGTCAAAAAAATTAGTCTATGAATATTGTTTTTGTAATACATTTACTTTAAGTAATATTAAAAAAGTTAAAAAATATTTTAAATATTATTATAAATATAATAATAATATTTATACTATATTTTTTTTAACAAAAATAAATTGTAATAAGGTAATTAAATGATTAGTTACCACATTTTTTGAGATTTTTTTTTTCTTTTTTTATATATTTTTATAAAATTTTTTTAAATATAGTTTTATACTTTTAATAATAAAGTTATTGTACTATACTTAATTATATTTAATTATGTAGTTTAATAATTTTTTTTTTTTATTTTGCCGAATTGCCATGACAGACGAACTTCATTAGGAGTAATGTTAAATATTATTACATTTATATTGTTATATGCTGCAGTACATTTCTAGATCTATGAGAGTACATCAAGCCACGTGTGCACCTTTTGGATGCCTATTTAAGTAGTCTGCCTGAAGGTTCTACACTAGATGTCATACCTATAACCCAACTAGGGGGTTATCCATTTAAACTCTCTGATATCTCCAGTACTGCACTGCCCTGTTTGGTTCAAACTGTCTCACCTCGTGCTGCACAAAGGCCACCCAGGCTGGTATTCCCCCACTAACTTTACCTCTTTATAGATAAACCCTTCGAAACTAATCAACCAGTATTTACCTGAGGAAGGGTGCAGTAAATGCCTCCTAAATCCTTCTACGTCCCACATATTTCCAGATTTGGTTCAGAGATACTGTGTTACAGCTTTACCTATATACTAGCGAGCCCGGTTACCCAAGCCACACATATTCCCTACCCTTGTAAAGTTCATTTTTACCCCAGTACCCACATTCGAACTTTCTTTCTTTTCTGGATTCTTTACCAGTCCCTTCCTTGTTTCCAGCCAGCAACCCAGAAGGGTTGGTCTGCCCAGGCTTTAGGTGCCTTACAGTCTCCCTTTCCTTGGTACATGCTTTCAAAGCACATGTCCTTTTCTTCCGGTTGGCAATCCAGCAGTTCGGCTGGTGTGTCCCCCACTTAAAGACCTGGTCACTCAGTTTTTCAGTCTTGGTTTCCAGTTCCAAATTCGGTCTTCCTGTGGCACTGTCAAAAGTTTCCACTAGAGGCCTGCAAATTTCAAATTTTGTAGCCCAGGCCCACCCGCAATTAGGGTTAAAAATTTTTTGCCAGCCCGGCCTGCCCACATTAATTAATTTAAATTTTTAGCCCGGCCTGACTCACAAATATAAATTTTTAGCCTGGCCTGGCCTGCAAATATATAAATTTTAAAATTTTAAAATTTTAAAATATGATTAAAGATATTTATCATCTAATTTTTTAACAGATAAAAGATTAAAAAAAATTAGATATAATATAATATAGTATTATTAACTAATTAAAATTATCTAATATAATAATATATAATTTATTATTAATTATATATACTTATAGTAATAATT